CATGCGCGCGCTATGTGAGAATCTGCCTTGGCACAAAGTAGCAGTGAAAACATGGTACGGAGTTTCATTGATTTGGGTATTCTCTCAATAAGCAAGTGGAATGGATTTAATTTGATAGTGAAGCACTGACACAGCGCTCTACAAAGTGCGGCGAGTGGATAGACCGATTCACGGACTTTCCGCATAGTAAAAGTGGGGGGGTCTAAACTAATCATTTGAAAAAGTGGGGGGGACTTGTCCCACCCTCATATAATGGCTGCGACGCCCATGCTATATACAGTATGGATTGTCCTTCCTCCTTATCTTCCAACCATTTGGACGCAAACTTGCATTTCCCCATAACGATGTTGTTTAACAACCGGCGTAAACGGACCTTCGCGCGCTATCAAGCAGTGAGCGTGCGTGTTCAGATGACGTCAAATCCAACGGGATGCCATAAATAAACTACACAGAATCACACTACACATCTACGCAATGATTACATTCAGGCAAACTGTAGAATACAACCTCTTTGGACAATTTATATACTTATTGAAAACAAGCTACAACATGTAATACCTTGGAAAATGCCGTTTAATACTTTTTAATAGCCTTAATTTTCGCTAAATTGATTTATCAACTTTTAATACTTTTTAAGAACCCGCGGACACCCTGCTACAGTACGATATATATATTACTTTACACCCGGAAGTATGTATTGTCATTCTTATTGTCGATAAATTGAGGGATATACGCTATATTTTATTAACACCAGTATGTACTTTATACATCCACCTCGAGTGTTTGTCTCTGCTCCGGAAATAATTTAATTTTAAAGTTCAACCGCATATTATATAGACTATATCAGTGCCACACCTGCGTAACACATGGTGCCTCTTGTCTGAACAATCTATTCTTGTCGACTTGCAGCCTAAATACAAAGATAACTCCACTCTCCTACCACTGCTTACCTCTAATGAGCCTTGGTAGGACTAGTGTCCGAGTCATGGGGTCCAGAACTGACTGAAGACATGTGGAACAGAGGACATGCATGGCTCCATGTACAGGGAACTGGAACTTTGAACAGGTGTTTTCATCTTTTCTGCCTGAAGATTCACAAGTTCTTGATCAGGTGTTTGATGTGGGCTGGCATGATCCTTTCTGCAGCGATGAATAAAGAAAACAAAGAAAACATTTTTAATAATAGTAATGATGGTAACAACAATAATATTAGTATAACTATTTATATAGCACTTGCACAATTGCAAAGTGATTCTCCCAACAAAAATAAAGAACAAAACAATACCAACAATAAAAAAACAAATGATTATAGGAATGTTAAGAGACAAATAAATGATAAACATTCTGAGAGGCCGACTCAATGGCTCTTGATGACATCAATGCGCAGTCCCAATAGATGCTGTTGTATAAAAATAAATAGATTTCTTCTATTTTGTGTTGGATGATTTGTTTTATTGATTGCTGATGGATGTATATATATAGGGTTTATTGAACAGCAGTAAAGCATTAAGTTGCTAAATTAACGTACACTGAACTGTAAAACAACTTCCCACTATTTAGGAAAGGCTCTGATCAGGAGGGTTGACTACTAGGACAGCAAAGAGGTGGAGGAGGTCTATGTACAACCATTGGTAGATGTTACACCTGAAAGAAAGATAAGGAAATAAAAGAAGACAGGAGTACAAACATCCTCTTAAAGGTGGGGTAGATAAGTTTGAGAAACCGGTTCGAGATACACTTTTTGTTATATTCCATGGAATGCTCTTAACATCCCGATAGCAATGAATATCTGAAGTGCTTTGACAAAAAATCCATAAAAGAATGTCATCTGTGGAAGCCGTGGTGCTGTAAAAAGTACGACCAATCATTTTAGCCGGCCCGGCTAAAATAACTGGATGGCCTACCTGCCTGTCAGCCTTCCATCTGTGCACAAACTTATCTCGTGCCCTCATTGGTCATGTGCGCGTTCGTGTGTGTTGGAGGAGGGGCTCTGTAAGGAAGTGGCAGATTTTTCCCGGATGTGGATTTTCAAATTCTAGCGCACTCGAGCTGGTTTCTCCAAAATTACCTACCCCACCTTTAAGTAAAAGACCAAATCATGTCAAGCTTTAACCTGAGCTTGTTTTTTCAGTCTTTACAATGCACTGTTGGAAAATACCTTCCAAAGGCTAAATTCAAACTCAATACCATAAATAACTGGGTACCAAAGTGCTTTACCTGATAGAACACGTTCCACATGGAGCAGCAACCATCCGGCTCGGCCTTTTGCTGCATATCATCTCCTCCCTCTCCACTGTTTCCATTAGATCTCTACTGTCCAATAAAACTGAAATTCCCCAAAAAATCATATTAAAAAAGTAAAAAACAATAACTTGCTTTTGGCATTGAAATGGATTAGAATCTCACAATTTTCCTGGATGTCAGGAAGGCCAGGAAGTCGTTCCCTTCAAGTCCGCAACCAGTCATAGGAGTTCAAATGCAAAGCCTGAACGATGACAAGAGCGGGAGACTTACATTTTACAATTATATTTTTAATTAATACCAGAGCAGTGTATACATAGGCCCTGTACGACATGCAGAGAACAGATCAAATCCCCTGACAGACTCACACACTTTGGTGATATCCTCTTCTGATAATGTTTCATTTTTTAGCAGCAAAGTAACATTACTCAAAGTATATGTCAGACCCAACTCATTTACAATTTGTTTTGCATCTCCTCAACAATGGTCTGTATCATTGAGTAGAAAAAAACTGTCCCTATAATTTCAGGTAGATTAACACACATTTGTAAGAAAAGTTTACAATGAAGCACAAAAACCCTCTTTGTATTAAGCGAGCTGCCACACAAAGTACAGCTTAACATGCTAACCTTTGGTAGAGAGCTACAGTTAGCTAACTTCATGTTCAACACAAAACCTCTAATGGCATTAATAGCCTTAATTTTCGCTAAATTGATTTATCAACTTTTAATACTTTTTAAGACCCCGCGGATACCCTGTAATTTAAGTTGTTTTTTGTTACCCTGAGTCTGTAAACAAGTTTCTAATATGAGACAATTAATACAGATGAGGTCAAATGTGGGGCTTTTTACCATAAATAAAAATGACAGGGCTTCTTCTTACATCTGGCCCACTGTGCTTAATAGTTTCCAGATAGCTGACCCTATTGTGGCAGAAGCTGCTTAGTAGTAAGGCAAGGCAAGGCAAGTTTATTTATATAGCACCTTTCAACACAAGGCAATTCAAAGTGCTTTACAAAAAATGAAAGACATTAAGAAAATGGCATTTAAAAACAGTCATTAAAAAGCAAAGATAATAAAAAAAGAAAATACATAGATAAAAGTTACAGTGCAGTTTAAGATGTGAATAGTTCAATTAAAAGCAGCGGCAAAAAGAAAAGTCTTCAGCCTGGATTTAAAAGTAGTAAGAGTTGCAGCGGACCTGCAGGTTTCTGGGAGTTTGTTCCAGATATTTGGAGCATAATAACTGAACGCTGCTTCTCCATGTTTAGTTCTGACTCTGGGGACAGAAAGCTGACCAGTCCCTGAAGTCCTGAGAGTTCTGGATGGTTCATAATTTAGCAGTAGGTCAGACATGTATTTTGGGCCTAAACCATTCAAAGCTTTATAAACCAGCAGCAATATTTTGAAATCAATTATTTGACACACAGGAAGCCAGTGTAAAGACTTCAGAACAGGAGTGATGTGATCCACTTTCTTAGTGTTAGTGAGGACTCGAGCAGCATCGTTCTGAATCAGCTTTCTAATAGATTTTTTAGTGAGACCTGTAAAGACACCATTACAGTAGTCCAGTCTACTGAAGATAAAAGCATGGACAAGTTTTTCCAAATCCTGCTGTGACATTAGTCTTTTAATCCTCGATATATTCTTAAGGTGATAGTCGGCTGATTTAGTAATTGTTTTAATGTGACTGTTGAAACTCAGGTCAGAGTCCATGACTACACCTAGATTTCTGGCTTTATCTGTTGTTTTGAACATTGCAGACTGAAGCTCAGCGCTAACTTTTATACGTTCTGCCTTGGCTCCAAAAACCATTACCTCAGTTTTATCTTTGTTTAATTGGAGAAAGTTCTGACAGATCCAGTCATTGATTTGTTCAATGCACTTACTCAGTGTTTGAATTGGAGCATAGTCTCCTGGTGAAATGGTTACGTACATTTGTGTGTCATCCGCATAGCTATGGTAACCCAGGTAAAACATTTTTATCTTAAATTATACTTTTTAATTTTAAGTACACTTTTAGGATAAATGTGCTATTTTGGTCGCATTCAAGTATACTAAAGTGTACTCAAGTAGTACTTGAGTACTACTTAAGCATTAGTTGAGTATACTTGAAGTGTAAATTGTGTGCTAAATTGACACAACTTTTTACTTTTTAAGTGTACTGAAGTACACCAGTTAAAATCATGATTCGTGTGCATTCGAAACACACCTTAAGTACAATTGTATTATATCACCAGTGTGTTGGAAATATACTTAAAAGGGCATTCAGCTCAATTCATAGTAGTGTATAAGTGTGTTTTGAACATACTATTATCATACTTATTCAAGCACACTTGTTATATTTCAAATGCACTTTCTGACTGTATTTAATACTTTTAAATTGTGCTATTATGTTAATAAAAATGTATTTATAGTAAGGTTCTATCACAATTTAAGCATCATAAATCCATGTATTTTAAGTATAATGTTATTATACTATAATGTAGAGTAGAAGTGTATGGTATCACTGCTTATACTATAGAATAGAAGTGTATTTTAAGTACAATACTGTTACCACTGCAAGTAATGGGTTATGTGCTACAGAAGCATACTTACAATACATCACTATTATACTTCACATACACTTTAAGCTACTTCCAGATACCACTTAAGTACACACCAAGTGTGCTATTCTGTTTCATGACAAATTGCACTTCAATTTTGAGAAAAACATAATTTTAATGACATAAAAACATTTACAACAAACCAAAAAACGTGTTCATACTTGAATAAATTGAACAATTAACAAAACATGATGGTTAAACTGACTCACGTCATTTATGGACTTGCAAAGTCTAAATAAAATAAATGGCGGCCATCACTTAGGAGGAACGTTGTTTTTGTAGCTCTCATTGTTGCATTTCCTCCGCAGCAGGGCCCGGATCACGCTGACCTCGGTACCCGGATATTTTTCTCTCACCGTGTCTTTCAAAACAGGAAGGAAGCATGGGATTTAATACTTGATAATATAGACAATATATTAGATTGAAATCCATTCATAATGATAACATTAATACAGAATATCTGTACCTATAATGGCATTCACTTTCTCCGGGTCAAGTTGGTTCTTGACCTCTGCTGTTTTCCCCTTCCCAGTAAGGGTATACTTGGCCAGGGTGTTTTACATTTCTGAAAGAGGCGGATTAAAACAAGGTAAATTACAACTATTGTACCTGTACCATTAAATGAACTTGAATGCTTTGCTATATTTCAAACACTGGAGATATAATATAATAGTCATGCAAGTGTGTTTCTAATGGCAACAAAACATATTTGTAATGGTAAATGGACTGTACTTGTAGAGCGCTTTATCTAGTCAGCAGGCTACTCAAAGCGCTTTTACACCACATATCACATTCACACACATTCATACACTGATGGCTGGAGCTAACCATCAGAGGTAACACATTCACTCACATCCACACACCAATGCGCAGCATTGGGTGCAATTTGGGGTTGGGGCCCAAATTACTCACATATCAAAGTATTTTCATCTGCAAGATGGAAGAAGAATAGCTGGGTGCTGCCTGGAGAGACTGATGAGGAGTCACCGGCTGGCTTCAGCAGCTTTCCACACAAAGCCATCACATCTTCTCTTCCATAGTCTTCACTGTCCACTGGTGCTCTGTCAAAAGAGTGAACATCACAGCTGTCATGTTAACCCTTTGTTACACAACATACAACCAACATGCGTCAAAAGTGACCCGAATTAGTTTTAAATTGTAAATATCTTTGCAATAAATTACTTTAATCATTCAGGATTCCAGGTATTCCTCAATTAACCTGTTTTTGATCAACACCAAATATAATTAATACAAAATATTTCTTACTTTTTGAATAAAAATCACGTTTGTATCAAAATTACCCTTATTCTTTTCCTATGTTATTTAATGCATGGCTGAGTGTTTCTTTACTATACATTTTCAAATGTATTTCTTTACTATACATTTTCAAATGTATTTCTTTAGTCATTAATATTCAAAGTATTCATTAAATACCTTGTTTTTGATTACCACAAATCATTATTTTCATTCTCCCGTTCTTAAAGGTAGGGTAGGTAGTTTGAGAAACCGGCTCGAGATCGCTAGAATTTGAAAATACACAACCGGAGAAAATCTGCCACTTCCTTATAGAGCCCCTCCTCCAACACACACAAACGCGCACATGACCAATGAGGGGACGAGATAAGTTTGTGCACAGATGGAAGGCTGACAGGCAGGTAGGCCATCCAGTTATTTTAGCCGGGCCGGCTAAAATGATTGGTCGTACTTTTTACAGTATTACGGCTTCCACAGATGACATTATTTTATGGATTTTTTGTCAAAGCACTTAAGATATTCATTGCTATCGGGATGTTAAGAGCATTCCATGGAATATAACAAAAAGTGTATCTCGAGCCGGTTTCTCAAACTTACCTACCCCACCTTTAAGAGCATTCCATGGAATATAACAAAAAGTGTATCTCGAGCCGGTTTCTCAAACTTACCTACCCTAACTTTAATTGATGAACTAAAATAGTTTATGCCAAGTGTAATAAAAATGCAAAACAAATACATAGGCTACTATAATAATAATTGTGTTAAAAATAATTATTTTAGCAGTGATTTGGACCAAGCATGTATGATGTAGTATTACAAAAACTATTTTAAGTTCATAGACTGTGACATTAGCTAGTCATGTTAGCTTGTATTATATAGAGCAGAGCTAACTAGCAAGTTAGCCAAACGTTAGCGGTTAGCCGTTTATGCTATGCTAGCTGTTGGCTACTGAACATTAACAAACTGGATTCCGCTGTAAGAAAGCTGTGAAACTTTACAATAAACTTGGCGACAACACTGTGACACCCTGCTGCATGTTTATGTGTAATTGTCCCGCATTGGAGACAAGAGGGTGGCGGAAGCACTGCAAGAAGCTGTAAGCTAACGTTAGCAGCCACCTTGATACCTGTTAAGCCCGGTTTCCCCCACCGGGGCAGGCGCAACATCTTGCAAGCAACAGCACCTCAGGGCTTCTTAACATTGTACAACCTATTAATGATCATGGGCGTCGCAGCCATTATATGAGGGTGGGACAAGTCCCCCCCACTTTTTCAAATGATTAGTTTAGACCCCCCCACTTTTACTATGAGGAAAGTCCGTGAATCGGTCTATCCACTCGCCGCACTTTGTAGAGCGCTGTGTCAGTGCTTCACTATCAAATTAAATCCATTCCACTTGCTTATTGAGAGAATGCCCAAATCAATGAAACTCCGTACCATGTTTTCACTGCTACTTTGTACCAAGGCAGATTCTCACATAGCGCGCGCATGTTCAAGGAGTGTTGTCATAGTTGGACAGCTCAGATCTGTTGTATGAAGCGATGCCGGTAGCGGAGGTAAGGCACACACACCAAATGTTCAGGAAATGGTTAATACAGCGAAAATCAAAGCTGACGATCTCTTGGTTTGATATGTTTTCTCCCCCAGACAACATGGACATAAGAACATTTTTTTCAAAGAAGAGGAAAGTAAGTCATCAGCTGGTAGCAGTTAATCAGTTAACAGTGATGGCGGCGTCTCACTTCTGGAGAGGAGTTTCGTCTTTATGTCATGATAGAGAGATACAAATACTGAATAGTTTAGATGAGAAAAGGCATCGAAATGCCAGGTTACTAGTATTTATCATGTAAACAGGGAACATGAATAACCCGATCTCTCTGTGCTCATGTAAACACCATATCCCCAATATGATCATAACCGGGATAATACTCATAAACGGCTTACTGATGTCCATGTAGAGACGCAGTCAGTGTGTTTTACTGGAGCCTCAGTTCGATAAGAGATTCTTTTCTGAGTTCTTTAACTTAGGTACTCTCTCTCAAAATGGTAATGTGCATTATGTTTTAATTATACTTATCATTCAGAAGCTTTTTGTGTGTGTTTATGTTTTACTGAGTGCTTATAGGCTATTTCCATCCCAGTATTCAGTTAACTATTTATTTGCTGTGCACATTACATAGACTAGCTAATATTCTACCTACTGCTTGGGACTTTGAGTCTTCAAAATGTCCAATGTCACAGACTGGGACTTACTTTAGAGTCAGTTGTATTTACATTCAGTATGACTTGTTATGATTCAATGTGAAAGAGTATACTGCTCAATAAATAATTATCACTTCGCCACCTCTCTTGACATCTAGGCACTTGAGAGTGAGTCAGAGGCAGAATACAGGGACAGTGGAGAGAGGTCCATTGCTGAGGTGAGTGATGAAAGGGAAATGACAGTTGAGAGTAAATTGTGATGTGGACTCTCATCCCAGGATTTTAAGGAAATCAGTGGGGATATTGAACAGGAAACATTTCAGTCAAGGGGCATCATATGACCAATATAGACAGAAGAGCAACATTTATTTGAACATTTAAGTCAATTATATCATTCCTAGGTGAACTTAACATCTGTATGGAGTCAGATCAGTCTCAATATTAATAAATGCTCACAGAAGGATTCACAAATGTATTTTGCGATTTATATATAAATGACTCTCCACAACAATATCTCTCAATGCACTCACAAATATTTATTGTTGTATATAAATGTACAAAAAATGGGCATTTAAACTGCTTTTTATTAATTCAAAGACAGCTCTGAATTAATAATCAAATATGTTTCCTTTCTTTACTACTGGATGAAATTACAAAATGTACCCATCATTTTCCTCATGCTAGTATAGCCACATAAAAGTATCAAACCACCTGTTAAAATGCACCAGAATACAGGAAATCTATATTTTTTTTCGCCCCCACACCCCCCGTTAAAAATGTCCCCCCCACATTCAGGATGCTTCCTACGCCCATGTTAATGATGCATACCCACTCAACGGGAAGAAACTCAGCTAACTGACGATATTAACCATTGTTACCTAACAAAACACAAGTCTAACATCAAGCAAATCAGCACTTAGCGAAAACGGGCTAACGCTACTTTAGCACATAACTGGCTAAAGCGATCTTTTCTACTTCATGCTATCTGCACAAACGTATCATATGAAAGCTGAGATTCTACAGATTCCATATGTATACGTCTCATCACTGTATGACCACAACTCACTGAACTAGAAGAAGAAACGTAACCTTAAATACAAAATAAAACATTCCCAAACTAAGGATTATCTAAACACGTTTAACTACATTACAGTTGCAGGACTCACCAGATCTCAAGTCTTCTGTTCTCTGTTGACATCCCGCTGCTCATATTTAATGTGTAGATGTAAAACGATCCCGATATTAATCCATAAACTCCTGGAGCAGACATATAGACAGAGTGAGCAGCAGCTGCGCAGGAGGAGACCCGCTCAAACTGTGGAAGTTTCAAATAGAGAGGCGAAGTCCCTCCCCTTCTGGTGAACCTCCATGGGACCTTATTTCGGAAAAATTATGTATTGAAGTCAATGGCGAGAGAAAGATTATCTTTCGATCCCATTTTAATTGTGCCACAAATTACACATATGATGTTTGTCAATTTAAAAGATAATCTTTCAAGTACATTTTTTTTAAATGTGTTGTAAAACCGTGAAGTAACACATTTTTTTGTGTGAAACGCTCAATGAACTACATCTCTGGTCTCTCACAACAACACACGTCACCAAGATGGCCGTCACTACTGTCTTGCCAAAAAAGGGATTGACTACCCTCACTATCACCACAATGAAACACGTACAGAAGAATGTCATGCAAAGCTGCCTGCCTGCCTGCCTTCCTTTGATTCTCCCTGAACTGCCTGATCTTTTTAATGTTCAATGTCAACCATTTGTGCAGATAGCATGAAGTAGAAAAGATCGCCGATGCTAATGTAGCATTAGCGTTAGCATTTCTCCACCGGGGGCATCTGGGCTTAAACGGTGTATTATAGAATGAACACACTGGTGTGACAGTACTCTTCAAAGGGTTCACGAAATATGACTACTACTCTTACTGTTTAACATTTTGGGTTACTTAATGTTACTTCATGTTAAAGGTGGAATAGGTAAGTTTGAGAAACCGTCATGAGATCGCTAAAATTTGAAAATACACAACCGGAGAAAATCTGCCACTTCCTTAGAGAGCCCCTCCTCCAACACACACGTACGCGCACATAACCAATGAGGGCACGAGATAAGTTTGTGCACAGATGGAAGGCTGACAGGCAGGTAGGCCATCCAGTTATTTTAGCCGGGCCGGCTAAAATGATTGGTCGTACTTTTTACAGTATTACGGCTTCCACAGATGAAATTTGGAAGGAAGCTGTGCAGAGACACAACACTTCATATTGCATCAAGCTTTATGTATGAAGTGTCTGAGTGCAACAATGTGTATGCCAAAAATCCAGACTCATTGACATGCAAATGTGTCATGATTAAGTCGAGGGAGAAGATATATGTTATCCCTCTACCAAACAACATTGAACAAGACTGATTTGACTGGACATCAAGGAAGCCTCAAGAACTGGTTCAGACTATAGGCTTGATGTAATTCACCGGATAACGAATGAGATGAAATAATGAGCCTATAATGAGTACTAATTTCCAATTATGTGCACAATGAATTCTGTCATTTTGATGTTCTGCTTCTTAGTATTTTGTAATGTACGAATCCCTAGTAGATTGACTTGTTAAGTACACACCTGTAGTAGAATGTTGAATGGGATGTACCAATGTGTTTTAGGAACCTGTTCTGAACCTGACATACATAAAGTGCCGTAGTAAGTCCTTGTGCATTAATACATGATGGTAATAGATAGTCCAGACCTATACTCTTCCCGGAGGTGTAAACAAAGTACACTATTCACAAGTGTTATAAAATAAACACTAACAAACAAAGTACACTGAAGTACAGTTTAAAATGAACTAACATTAAAGTGCACTGTTTGTAAGTATACTTATGTACACTTCTAAGGAAGTGAAATTAAAGTCTACTTAAATAAAGCATACTAATAGTGTATTACAAAGGACTTGCATATATTTAACTTTTCAAAAGTAGACTAACGTACCACTATAAGTATTTGCAAGTTAATATACTTTTTAAAAGTACAATGAAGTACAAATTAAGAAAAATGTATATTAAAGTGCACTGTTTGTAAGTATACTTATGTACACTTCTAATGAAGTGACATTAAAGTCTACTAAGATAAAGCATACTAATAGTGTATTACAAAGGACTTGCATATATTTAACTTTTCAAAAGTAGACTAACGTACCACTATAAGTATTTGCAAGTTAATATACTTTTTAAAAGTACAATGAAGTACAATTTAAGAAAAATGTATATTAAAGTGCACTTTTTATAAGAGTACTTAAATACACTTCTAATGAAGTGAAATTAATGTACACGTTAATAAAGCATGCTAATAGGGTATTACAAAATACAAAAAAATGATTGTACTTTCGATCAGTATACTTAATGACCACTATAAGTATTTGCGATTTAGTACGTAGTAGCGAAAGTGTACTTACTTACAATTCACAATACACTTAGATTCAAGAACACTTTTAATAAGCACACTGAAATACCACTTTAAGTATTTCAGAAATAGTATATTTATTTTTAGTACATTGAAATTGAACTAAATGACATCTATTTTGAATTACACTTTTTAAAAGTACATTTTAAACATACTTTCAATCAAGCACAAAAAGTAAAAGTATACTTGTATATACTTTCGTATACTTAAATTATATTTCTAATACACTAAAGTATACTACTTTTTGACCTGGGAACTTATTTTGTTGTTTTTCATTATCTGAGCCAATGATAGCATGTAGATGTTAAAGAGAAGAGGCCCCAAGATGGAGCCTTGAGGTACCCCACATGTCATATTTGTCAACTCAGATGTGTATTTACCTATAGAAACAAAGTTTTTTCTGTCCTTTAAGTAGGATTCAAACCAATTTAGAACTGTTTCCGAAAGTCCCACCCAGTTTTCTAGTCGGTCTAGTAATATGTTGTGGTCAACAGTGTCAAACGCAGCACTGAGATCTAATAATACTAACACTGAAGTTCTGCCACTGTCTGTGTTTAAGTGGATGTCATTGAAGACCTTTACAAGAGCAGTCTCAGGCTGGTGCCCCACGAGGACGCATACAGGAAAACGCATACACAAACGCAATAACAATCGCAAAAAAGGCTTCCGTCCACACGCAATAGACACCGGATGTCTGTTCACACAAGACAGCTCCGTTTAGCTCCAACCGCTGGAAAAGCTGCAGTACATATGCCGAGCCTGTACGTGGCGCTGTAACTTCCACCACAAAAGCAGCGAAGAAGCATGGTTGTCATGGTTGCCCTTCTGTTTATTCTCCGCGGTGGGGGCCGAGGGAACCGGGCAGAGTTTTTCGCCGGTCAACGTGTGTTAAAGTTTAAATCTTCCGGACAAAATTATAAAAGTGCCGGTCAAAGGTCTTCTTTGTTATTTATTGAGCTTTAAAACAAATGAATAATGACTCTATATAATAATATAATAATAAAATACACGGAGCCTCTCTTTTTCCTCCCTCTCTTCTGACAGTGTCATTGTCTGTCTCATGCAGGTGAGCAGAGCTGCGTGTCTCCGTCCTGTCAGATTAGACTTCACTCGCGTTTATGTCCATATCGAGAGAAAGATAAATAATCTGAATTCAGTGTGCAGTTTACTTTGATGCGGGGGTGAGCAGCAGAGGTGGGGAGAGGCGGGGCTATTGCGTCATCATTATCAGAAAATTATCGTATAGGGGCGATTACACGGAGCCGTTTGACCCCCCAGAGCGCTCCGTTTGCAGATCTATCCACCTTGGGACCCGTTATCGTTTGCGGGGTCCGTTTCTATCGTTTAGTTACGGCCTCGTGTGGCAAAAAGGGCTATACGCAAGAGAAATATGCGGATACAACCCGTTTTCGTCCTCGTGGGGCACCAGCCTCAGTGCTGTGGTTTGGTCGAAAGCCTGATTGGAACACATCAAAACAGTTATTTAAATGCAAGTAATTACTCAACTGTTGAAAAACAACTTTTTCAATGATTTTACCTAGAAATGGCAGGTTTCCTGATATGGGCCAGTAATTGTTCATTACTGAAGCATCTAGATTATTATTTTTTAAGGGCGGTTTAATGACTGCAGTTTTCAGGGCCTGTGGAAAAACACCTGAGTGAAGAGACTTGTTTACTATTTGAAGTAGATCTGAGGCCATGCAATGAAAAACATCATCCTGTTGGAATAATATCAAGGCAGCAGGAGGAGGATTTCAGAAGTTGAATAATGTCCTCTAGGTTTTTATCATTAATCTGATGGAATTGTGTCATGGTGTTTGAATTGATATTAGGTGGACACAGGGACAACACATTTGCTGTACCTGATGCAGAGGCACTGACTGCTTGTCTGATTTTCTGAATTTTGTCAGTGAAGAAGGAGGCAAAATCATTGCAGGCCCTGGTGGATAGAAATTCAGAGGCTACTGACACTGGGGGGTTTGTTAGTCTGTCGACGGTAGCAAACAAGGCACGTGCGTTGTTTTTGTTTTTGGTAATGATGTCAGAGAAGAAAGACTGTCGTGCATTTTTCAATTCCAAATTATAAAGGCCAAGTCTCTCTTTATAGATTTCAAAATGAACCTGGAGATTTGTTTTTCGCCACCTACGTTCAGCTTTTCGACACTCTCTTTTTTCTGTTTTTTTCTGGCCTTTCTCCATGGAGATATTTTCTTGCCAGTCACTTCCTTTACCTTAGTTGGAGCAATGGCATAACATTTTTAATTTTTGAATTAAAATGATCTACTAGCTCATTTACTGAGATGTTAGCAGCGGCAAGGGTGGAAGAAAAATTCTGAGTAAACATTTCCGTAGTATTTTCAGTTAAATATCGCTTTGTGGTTACCTCTTTTTGAAAATGTTTGTGAAAAGAAATAGAGCTCTCAAAGAAAACACAGGAATGATCAGAGAGTGCAACATCAGTCACCTCAACCTCAGAGATATTCAGACCCTTTGAGATAATTAAGTCCAGAGTGTGCCCCTTATTGTGCGTGTGCTCCGTCACATGCTGAGTCAGTCCATAGTTATCAAGAACACAAAACAGTTCTTTAGCCCCTCTGTCCTGGGGGTTGTCAACATGGATATTAAAATCACCAACAATGACTAGACGGTCAAAGTCAATACACAATAGACAGCAGTTCAGTAAAGTCATCAAAAAAGCTTGCACAGCTGAAGGGCCACATATTCAAAGGAAGCAAGGTTCCCATAAGACGTCTTCCTGCATTGAAGGGAATCATCAAACAAAATAGCAACTCCACCCCCTTTCTTATGCATTCTTTGCTGACTCATAAAACTAAAGTTGGG